GTATCGGTTCGGAAATACCACTGCTGGAAGGTGATTCCACAATGTGGTTGTGCGTCGAAAGATTAGCCGGAACAAACAGACCAACAGACAACAATTTAAAAAAATGTTGTTTTGTTGTATGTACTTTATTTATATTCATATGCATGTAGTCAAAAACGGTTATTTCAATATTACAAACAGACACTCCAATTTCATTTATATGTATAGATGAAAATAATACAACAACTAAACTGAGCGCCTTCTCGGCTGGCTGTTCAACAATCTTGGTACATGGCCCACCATGTTTTTGACACCTTACAAATTAATTTTAATTAATTTATTATAGATTCCGTGTAATCACAAACAAATAAGTGCTTAAATTGTTTTTTATTAATCATAGCGATTATAAGAGCAAAATTCATCAAAACATTGTTATCGTGTTTACCATTAATACATAAGCACTCAACAATAACATATTTTTATAAATAAACAAACTGTTTAGGTAATCTATACGTATAAATAAAATTGGAGTGTCTGTTTGTAATATTGAAATAATCGTTTTACTACATGCATGTGAATATAAATACGGTACATACACCAAAAAAACATTTTTAAAATTTTTGCCTGTCTGTCTGTCGGTCTGTTTGTTCCGGCTAATCTCTGAAATGGCTGGACCGATTTTGACGGGATTTCTTTGGCAGGTAGCTGATGTAATAAGGAGTAACTTAGGCTACTTTCATTTTAGAAAAATAAAGTTTAATTCCACGCGGACTAGGTCGCGGGAACAACTAGTCTATACATATAAATAAAATTGTCCGTTTGTAATATTGAAATAATCGTTTTTTACTACATGCATATGAATATAAATATGGTACATAGAACAAAATAAGATTTTTTACTATTTTTATTTTAGAAAAATAAAGTTAAATTCCACGCGGACGAAGTCGCGGGCACAGCTAGTATTTATATAAATAAACAGTGTAGGTAATAAAATAATAATTGTCAACAATGCCATGATTAAGAAAGGTGCAAGAAGACAATGATCACTGAGATAAGCAATGTCTCTGATCAAAGTCGGTTGTATTATCGTAGTCTACCTGGATTCTTAAGTCATGAATAGAATGGCACAAGGACAGACATTTATTGCTCTAATACGGCGAAACTTACTAAGTACTGTACTTATTTTGTTAAGGTACGTAACCACATATAGCTCGTAGGACAGATGGCCGTTGGGGCAGTAAAGTTGTCGAGTGGCGACCGCGGACCGAAAGACGCAGCGTGGGAAGGCCTCCAGCAAGGTGGACCTACGATCTGGTCAAGATCTCTGGAAGGCATTGGATGCGAGCAGCGCAGGATCGTCGTGGAGATCTTTGAAGGAGGCCTTTGTTCAGCAGTGTACGTCTTTCAGGCTGAGATGATGATGTCATAATCATTACAAAAAAATCTTTTTATCGACTTTATTCTAATGCTGTTGATTACTCTATCATAGAGTATACTCGTGAAAACTTAGGCTCATCCGTCATACTCGAGAACGGGTGCTGCTTGTGGCGACTGGTCTGTTTAGGTTGCGAACACTGATTAGATTTTTTGTTTTATGCAATAGCATATGCTGGTGTTCACACTATTCTCCTAAGTATGAATTTAACAATGAATCTGTTTTATTGTAAACATTTATTAGAAAATAGTACGAGCTTAGTTTCTTGTTAGTTCTTCTCATCTCAAAATCATTTCAAACTGACGGTAGATTTGTCATATCATAAGAGTCTGTAATAGACCTATATGAATAAACATATTTAGAATTTGAATTTGTTAGTTACACTTGTGAATAGATTGTGGAATGGACTACCTGCCGAGGTTTTCTCACGAGACTACAGCATGTAGTTTTTCAAGAAGGGTATATTAAGGGTTGGCAACGCGCATGTGACACCCCTGGTGTTTCAGGCGTCCATAGGCTACAGTAACCATTTACCATCAGATGCGTATGCTTGTTTGCCACCTACGTGGCATAAAAAGTGTCTTTTTATAGCTATCGGACGAAAATAAAGAAGGCACTCCAAACCTTATGGAGAGTCATAAGGCCAACTCTTGCCTGACGAATATGACTAGAGTCTGAGGTCGCAGCTAGGAGTCTGAACGTCTGTTTCAGTCAGATATTGTTTGTTTGTTATCTGTTGTAATATTTATGAAGGGAAATAAAAGGTCATATAAATGAGGGTCTATAAATAATAAAGTCTTGGTTGAACTTGCATTTTATTTACAACATTAACGATGTATTCTACACTTGAGAACCAATCAGAAATACTAACTGTATTTTTTTATATCGGCCAGATTTTAACTCACGATCTTTTGGCTGCTCCTCTATAAAACCACTACGCCACTACGTTATAAACTCTCGGACTTTTTGAACTGATTTAATACGTTATGCTAATTGAAGTTGATGAAAATAGATGTTGGCCGATTCTCAGACCTACTCAATACGCTCACAAAATTTCATGAGAATCGGTCAAGCCGTTTCGGAGGAGTATGGGAACGAAAACTGTGACACGAGAATTTTATATATAAGATTCATTATTATTTCCCATTTAGATATTAATAATAATAATAATCTATAATAATCTCAGGACAATTCACACAGCGCCATCTAGACCCAAGTTAAGCTAGCTAAAGCTTGTGTTATGGGTACACACACACAGACAACTGATACATATACATAGATATTTTTTTTATAAATACATACATATTATACATAGAAAACATCCAGACCGATACAAACAATTATACTCATGAATACAAATGTTTGTGCCGCCGTGCGAGGAATCGAACCCGCTACCATCGGTCGTAAAGCGGTGTGCTAGACCGCTAGACCACCGAGGTCGTCACATACATATTGATAATGAACTTGGAGGACAATGTTTCATATCAACAATAAATTAATTACAATATTTTAGCGTAAATATTTGTCATTAAAGTATTTAACGTATAAATACATACAAATAAATCAAATTGATGTGTCTGTTTGAAATTTAAAATTAACAATTTTTCACTAAATGCATATGAAATATGTACGTCACTTTTTATATATTTTATTCCACTCTCTCTGTTTGTTCTTGCTAATCTCTGAAATGGTTGGACCGATTTTGACGGGAATTTAACTCGCTGATATTGTAAGGAATAGAATAGAATAGAAAATCATTTATTCAAATAAACTTACATTGAAGCACTTTTGAATAGTCATTACATTTTTTTTTTAATGTACCGCTCATTCGGAATGCTGTCTCATCACAAGAAGAACAAGCAAGAAACTTGTGTGTTGCTCTTTTAAATAATTTATTCTTACTTACAATTTAAGTTTAAGTGTGTGAATACAAACCACCGATTAGCACTAATTCAATGAAATAATAAAATAGAAAAAAAAACATTCAATATACAACAACTGGTTAAACAATTAATAAGAGAAAATAAGTCATAGTGATTAGAGCAGACCAGTCCACACAAGCAGCACCCGTTTACGAGTATGACGGATGAGCCAGCCACCACTGCGCTCGACCATATTTTAGGGAGCCCAATGACCCGGCCCACCACGCCGCCACAAGTCTGGACATTTTAGTGAGCATGACTACTCAAAACACCAGACCACGTCGTAGCTACTCACAATTGCCATCTGATGTTTAACGGAGTAACTTAACCTACTTTTTTTATTATTATAAATAAAAAGTTAAATATCCACGAGAGGTAAGGCGATCCATCCAACACTGCGTTCGATCCATGTCATGACACGAAGTCTGTTAAATGTGGGACTATCTGACGCTGGGTCAACTGTTGTGAAATAGAAATAATCTTTATTTAAATAAACTCAACATAAGCACTATTGAATAATCACATTTTTTTATTCTACCGCTCATTCGGAATGCCGACTCATTGTAAGAAGAATGAGCAAGAAACTTGTGTGTTGCTCTTTTAAATAAATATTGTTTTAATTATATTTACAGTAACAAGGATTATATGCGACAATCAACATAGAAACTGCTACGCACTTAATCTCTGTTCAATCAGATAACATTGTTAGCGCTATGAATTTTAAGTTAGATATTTTCTACAAAAACATTATTATCATTTATTAATTCTTCAGTTGAGGGAGACATTATTATAAAGTAAAAAAGTAATAAAAATTTACCAAAAGAACTATATTTTCCTATATATCTGCGGTAACTTAAATTACCTTATGCATATTATATATGCATAAGGTAAATTAAGGTTAGTAGGTACTGTTTATGTACTTAGGTACAGTAAGTACAAAAGTATGTTTTTATATTTATTTACAAAATATTTTTAAATAATTACATGACACATTGATAATGTGATAAGATAACGTAATTGATAACTATATATAGGTATCGCCTCATTGTATCAACACTGACTCACTGTTTAGTTTATATCTGAAATTAATGATGAATTAACACAATATTTACCTTGGCCAAAGATCAGCCATAAGTAAATTAAAAAAAAAACCAAATCAGTACTTTTGTCATAGCTACATAGATAACGAATCGTGACAAAAGATAACCCTAAGCCGATTAACGTACAATCTAGAATATATTTTGTCATATACAATGTCATTAATTGTTACCAAATCTAATCGAGAAACGAATTTAGTTAGCATACCTAACTATAAACAATAGGGACACACAAAATACCCAGTACGAATTAATAGCTTTATAATGCCATTAATCAAACTAGAAACCACCGTTTTTAATTATAACCATGGACGCAACATGACAGAAACGAAACAATATATAAGTTTGTGTTAAAGCTCTCCAAATAAAACTATAGGAAGCGAGCGAAGAAGCTCTGCGGCGCGAGTGGGGACGTGGGCAGCTTACGGGACGTGGGGCGTGATGTATGTACGAAAAAGCTCCCAGCTCGATTGGTCCCCGGCAATATCGGAAGCTACAGAGGCGGTGCTTACCGCGCGACGTATAAAACGCGCCGCCCGCCTCCGCGCCCGTCAGTTCCCTCGTCGCTCGCGTATCGATCGCACGCGCGTTCTTACAACAGTTACTAGTGCAACACCATGGTGAAGTTCGAAGGAGATTTCAGTATAAATTCTATACTGATGAACCACGCGGCGAATAAGCCACCGCCGTCGCCGACTACGTCGTCAACTGGCGCGTCGCCTTCTGAGGCAGACCTCAGCGATTCGGAGCTCGATGTCATCGGCACCGAGCCCGTCGACTGCACCAAACCGAAAGATGATGACAAGAAGGATAAGAAACATGAGAAGCCAGCGTATAGCTACAACGCCCTGATAATGATGGCGATCCGCAACAGCCCAGAGAAACGTCTCACGCTCAACGGTATCTACGAATACATCATGACAAACTTCCCCTACTACAGAGAAAACAGGCAAGGCTGGCAAAACTCTATCCGCCACAACCTGAGTCTCAACAAGTGCTTTGTGAAAGTGCCTCGCCATTACGACGACCCCGGCAAAGGGAATTACTGGATGCTGGACGCGTCTGCGGAGGATGTCTTCATCGGTGGCACGACCGGCAAGCTCCGTCGGCGGTCTGCACTCAACGGCAGATCTCGGCTGGCTTGCTTCAAACGGCCACTGTTCCCTGGCGCTCCATTGCCGGGTGCGTACCCACCTGCCACCTACTCGCAACTCGTCGGTCTCTACTCACAACTGCTGTACCAGAGATACGCACCGATGCAGATGAAAACGCCGCCAGTAGCCCCGAGTGCGGTGCATCCAGCCTTCCGTGGCGCAGAAGCGATGGGTTACAGTGCTTTGCCGTACGCTCCCGCTTTATACGGAGCGGAGAGACTTCCGTCGGCACCTTTTCTACAAACCTCGCTGTTACCAAACGCTCCTCTGAGCCAAAGTTCGACGATGTTATCGCAGACATCCCCGTTGCTGCCGCCGTCGCCTCCGCTGATGGCCCACTCACCACCGACGTCGGGCAGCTCGAGCCCCGAGCTCCCATCGCCGTCGCACCACCCCCTCACGCCGCACATCTACAAGCCCGTCACGATTCTGTCAAGACAGTGACTCCACAATTTAAGCAATCTCATAGAGGCTGAACCAATTACTCGGGAGAGTACTTGAGACATTTCCACTATACTATCTGTGATTTAATATTAGTTAGTGTACAAAATGGACCAGTGGACGAGAAGTTGTGACGAGGTCGGTAATCTCTTGTGGCTGCGATGCATCGCGCAATTGCAATATTCTCTACTTATAAATTGTTAATTTAATACCACTAGCATTCCCCTATTGTATTGTATAGAAGTTAGTTAATAATGTAAATAGGTATTTCCAAAGTGTAAAGATATTTATTGATGTTGTAATAGGATTAAGATAAGAGAGTTATAAATGAATAAAACAAAGTAAGTCTCCTCATAACATAATATTATCTTTCATTTACCTAAACGGCTCTGCGGGCTTCCTGGAACGGTAACGAGTGACACTCACATAATGGTCAGTTGTAAATCAAAATTGATTGTCGGAAGGATGGTAATCTTTAGTTACAGTGAATCAGCAAATGAATCAACAAACTTTCATAAATGCGAGTTATTTAAACTAGACATAAAACAAATCTAAATATAGATGTATGGACTGATAACAACTGAGACAATATAAATATTGTTTCACCTCGCAAACAGTGACATTGTATTTAGGCCTAAACACGTCAGTAGATGCTATCGCCACTATCTGATAATACAAAACAAACATCAGTACGCATGTACATATTAATATTTACAAATATTTTCACATACTGATATAAATGTGAGTATTGTTCATTTAATAAAACAACTAAAGCAATATTTAGTACAGATAGCGAAACATGTAGAGCAATTATTCGACTTATAAAATGTTCACAAATACGTGGATCGACGTGACGACTAAGTAATAAATTAACGGTAAATGAGTTTCTGAGGAAATGAAAATGTAACTGAGAATTTATGATAAATATTTATTATTATGTACTATATTGAGTACAGTTGGCAGTAAAGTAATAATGAACAGAAAATATTTTTGGATAAATAATTACAAACTCTGAAATTTATAGCCTATATGATGCATAAACTGTGTTACTGGCATGTGCATGGCTATAGTTTTCATGCACGGGATTTTCATTTAATGTTAGACATAGACACCTATATAAATATACATTGTAAATAAACTGGCTTTAAAAAAAAGTAATTCAATTGAGTTTCTTGCCAGTTCTTCTCAATTGCATCTGTATACCGAACTGGACGGTAGGGAAAAAATTATAATGTAAAAACTTGACGTTCAGAAGCGGCTAAAGTTCCTACATGAATAAATAATTTTTGAATTTGAATTTACTGTAAATATTCCATCAAAATTCGTTCAGTAGTTTTTGCATGAAAGAGTAACAAACATATAAATAAAATTGGAGTGTCTGTTTGTAATATTGAAATAACCGTTTTTTACTACATGCATATGAATATAAATACGGTACATACACCAAAAAAAACACTTTTTAAAATGTTTGTTCCGGCTAATCTCTGAAATGGCTGGACCGATTTTGACGGGACTTTTATTGGCAGGTAGCTGATGTAATAAGGAGTAACTTAGACTACTTTTATTTTAGAAAAATAAATTAAAATTTCACGCGGACGAAGACGCGGGTGCAGTATGCTAGTATATATATAGTTATAATATGTGTATAAAATTAAGTTAACAATTTACGTAACTATTAATAGAGTTTAGTTATCATTATATTGGTCTGTTAATTAATAATAAACACATATAGTCCAAGTGATCTACTAAACTATTAACAAGTTAAAATAAATTATAAATGACTTTAACTTGTGTAGTTGCAATACGATTGAGAATTGATAAACTGAAATAAGGACCTGAATCTACTGAATTTTATCTAGTTTATTGAACTTAAAGTTTATATGTACGAAGTGATCTACTAAACTAATAACAAGTAAAGCTAAAATAAACTACTCTAACTTTTATAGTCGCATTTTATTGAGAACTAGCTGTACTCACGACTTCGTCCGCGTGGAATTTAACTTTATATTTCTAAAATAAAAGATTTTTCTGAAATATAAGTAGCCTAAGCTACTGCTTATTTCATCAGCTACCTGCCAATAAAAGTCCCTTCAAAATCGGTCCAGCCATTTCAGAGATTAGCCGGAACAAACAGACAGACAAAAATTGTAAAAAATGATATTTTGGTGTATGTACCGTATTTCTATTCATTACAAACAGACACTCCAATTTTATTTATATGTATAGATATTATAATCAAGTATAACAATATGTATATACAGTGGACCCGCGGTAATCCGGCCCTTGTCTTATCCGGCCCCCCTTTTAAACCGACATGGTCTATTATTTATTATTGAATATTTTTTTGACTACAGAGTCCATATACATACATACATATATAACATAGAATCTTATCACTGAATCTGTAATTTCTAGGAGTACAAGATACTCTTTTGTAAAAATTCCGGACTATAGGGGACCCTTAGGCAGAACTTAGTTCTTATCACTACGACTGATTTAATCTTATTATATATTTATATTTGACCCAAAAAATTAGTGCTGGTTGGTAGTTTGTATTCATACGTTTCGACTTGTAAATGTAAACTTACAAGGATTATTTAAAAGAGCAACACGCAAGTTTCTTGCTCGTTCTTCTTGTAATGAGACAGCTTTCCGAATGAGCGGTAGATAAAAAAAATGTTATGACTGATTGATTTTCTATTCTATTCTACTATATTCTACACTTGTTCCTGGAAGTATTAGTAATTCGTTCATCTTGTGATGAGACATCTTTCCAAACGAGTGGTAGATAAAAAACAAATTGTTATGACTATTCAAAAGTGCTTAAATTAAGTTTATTTGAAGAAATGATTTTCTATTCTATTCTATTCTCTCTATCTTCTTCATCCTCGCCTCTTCCCGTTACTCGGGGTCGGCTTTTCTAATCCTAGGGCGCCATACATTTCGCTGGTAAGCATTGTCAACCAGGTAGTAGAATACAAATGTTTGTGCCGTGCGAGGAATCGAACCCGCGACCATCGAAGTAAGGTGTGCTATACCACTAAACCACCGAGGTATTCGAATACCTACTATTGATTTGTACGTTTGTATGTATTGTATGTGCTGTAGGTTTCGAAATTAATAATTATAAAATGATCAATATGACTCAATTATATATAGTGGCCTGGGACATATGAAATTTGAATCCAATACCAATTTCGGTGCTTAACTTCGATTGTAATAAAAGATTTTTTTATATAGCATAGGGGAACAAGCTTGCGGCTCACCTGATGGTAAATGATTACCGCCGCCCATGAGCACTAATACAATTATAGACTTTGAATCGTTACATAGTATAAAACAAAGTCGCTGTCGCTGTCTCTCCGTCCATATGTATGCTTAAATCTATAAAACTACGCGACGGATTTTGAAGTGGTTTTTTTTAATAGATAGAGTGATTCAAGAGGAAGGTTTATATGTATAATACATGTCCACTCGTGCGTAGCCGGGGCGAGTAGCTAGTGACATAATATAAAACAAAGTCACTATCGCAGTCTGTCCCTATGTCTGCTTAAATCTTTAAAACTACGCAACGGATTTTGAAGCGGTTTTTTTTAACAGATAGAGTGATTCAAGAGGAAGTTTTATATGTATAATACATGTACACCCGTGCAAAGTCGGGGCGAGTAGCTAGTATAATATAAAAATACATGTCATACAATCCTTTACTGAATTGTGTGATTAATCGATTGTTGATACATAAGGTATGTATATGATAAGCTATTGTGATTGTACAGTGACAGTATGTCTGTCTGGTGCTTGTATTATAGGTAATTATATGGTGAACTTTGGAAGTCTATCATTTACAATACTTATGTATATTCTAACGATATATCTGTGTTAATAAGTTGTTGGTATCTATACATTAGATAGCTATAAGGATAATGAAACCGATGCAGATAAGCGTGGAATCTTCTATACTCAGGAATGAAACAATGATTGAAGTTTACAGCTGTCCGTGACGCTTGCGCATATATAGCGAGAGGATAGTCGACGCGCTCGCCTGCGGGGCGAGGAAAGTGATAACAGCATAGAGGTCACTATCTATGCACAAGCGGTGGGATCAATTTAATTACCAAATAAGTAGGTATACAGGTAAGTAATACAGAATCTTGTAGATACAACCTAACAAAAAATATATCTAAATATATATAACTCAAAGGTGAGTGACGTAGTGATCAACGCACAGCCCCAACTACTGGACGGATCGGGCTGAAATTTGGCGTGCAGGTAGATGTTATGACGTAGGCATCCGCTAAGAAAGGATTTTGATTAATTCTACCCTCAAGGGGATAAAATAGGGGATGAAAGTTTGTAAGAAACTTTGTCAATTTTAAACCGATCGGGCTGAGACTTTGCATACATAAAGCTACTATGACGTAGGCATCCCCTAAGAAAGGATTTTGATAAATTCCACCCCTAAGGGGATAAAATAGCGGATGAAATTTTGTATAAAACTTTTTAGATTTTGTAGGCCCTAATTTTTAACACACGCTAAACAAAAATAAAGCCACAAAAACTACACCTAATTAGTAATAATACTTACTACTACGCGAGCGAAGCCGTGGGCAAAAGCTAGTATTAGATAAGAGTAAAAGGTAAGTTATTATTTATATATTTGTATGGTTATCTTATATATAAAATTCTCGTGTCACAGTTTTCGTTCCCATACTCCTCCGAAACGGCTTGACCGATTCTCATGAATTTTTGTGAGCGTATTGAGTAGGTCTGAGAATCGGCCAACATCTATTTTTCATTCCCCTAAATGTTAGGGGTAGTCCACCCCTAAATTTTTTTTTTATTTTTTAGACAAAATTTTTAGTTTCTATTTTTTTATGATACAACATACAAAAATACATACAATCCTAAATTTTCACCCTTCTATCATCAACCCCTATTTTTGTATAGCGTTATTAATTTATATGGCAAAACAACGTTTTCCGCGACAGCTAGTTTCTATATATTTTTATGTGTTTATTTTTTACAGGTCCAGTTTGCAGTGCGAGGCACGTCGGTTGCAGATAATATATCAGTGTTATAGTATTAAACATTGTATTGTGTTCATTGTTTAACATAAAATATTACTAGTAGATCCAGTGGTGTAATTAGATAACCAAGGGCCCTGGGGCAAATCAAAAGATGTGGACATACTGCTCAGCAGTGGGGCCCTACAATACAGTTTTATTAAAACGCT